TAAGAGAATATATACATGTTGGAGACATATGCAATCATAATCTTCCAGAAAATCTTTACTAATATGTATTATCAAGTATGAGGATATTTTTCAAATTTGATCTCATATTTTATAAAATTGGTGTTGTAATCTTTGCCACTGAGATTAGAAGTATCACCCAGATGATAAACCTATCATTTTGTGGATGCAAATTAATCCACATTAACTATAATGTCTTCATTAGTGAGGATGAGCTGGGAGATATGAACAGGAATTTCATCATAAAAGAAGCTTAAATGAAAATTAAGTATAGTGTATGTCACAGAGATGTCCACGTGAGTAGTTCTGGGCTAAAATGGGGTCAGGTTCAGCAATCACAGGTACCTTGACTCTAGCATATTGCTCATTTCTACCTGGCCCATGACATCTTGGTCCAAGATGACACCATCTGAGGTCCACAAAGCAGAATAGGGACAGAAACAAAGAATAAAAATGTAAATGACTCACTTAGTTTCTTCCTTAAATAAGAGATTCCTGAGCGTGCTGCCTAATACTTCTGCCTTTGTCATATTAGCTAGCACTTGGACATTGGCCAGCCCAAATTCAAAGAAAGCTTGGAAATATAGTCAGTCTTTCTTCTGGAAAACTTGTGCAAATCAAGCAATTTTACTTCTGTGGAGAAAGGATAACAAAGTTCCAGAAGCTAAGGAAGTCTGTAGACCAAGAATGCACTGTCTCATGGCTTGCTCTCTGAAGGGTAGATACCAAAAACCAAAGTGTCAGCAGAGTTTGTTTCTTGTGAGGATTATGAAAGATCTCCAGGCCTCTCTCCTTGTCTTACAGATGGTATCTCTTCCCTAAGTATTTTCATACAGTCATATATGTGGATATCTCCAAATTCACTTTTTGTAGGGGCACAGTCATACTTTTAATCAGCTCACCAAAATTACTTCATTTTAACTTTCTTACCTCTGTAAAGATCCTATCTCCAAATAAAATCATATTCTAAAAAGTGTTGGCCACTAAATTTTCAACAGTGAATTTTTGGGGGGAACATAGGGCGAATCATAGATATTGTGGACAATTAGCAGTCTCTGCATGATTCTCAGATGAGCAAGTTCCTCAGCTTATATCCATATGATTGGAAGACCTTCCTCCACCTCTCTACTGGCTGAGCCACGTATGGAAGCTCATAGTATGAGTAAACTCCCTACCTTCCTTTGGCTTACTTTATCGAAGGCTTTCATCAGAGTTGCCTGTTGGGCGTTCATGTCTGCTTTGAAACTACAGCATACAGAATTTATATACGTGTGAATGTGTCCCACTTTATCCCCAGGGCTCAGCAGTACTCAGCACCACTTGCACACCAAGTAACAGACACTACTACTGAAGTGCTAAAAATAATGGTTAACCTTCACTGTGGGCAACTTTATTTGTTGGCTACTATGCTAAACACTTTACATGCATTATTTTATTTGAAGTCCCCAACTTTATCCCTACCTTTAATAGACAAACCTCACAGTTTACTCAACTTTCCTAAAGTCATATGGCAGGGATACAGTAGAACTCAGGTCTGCCTAACTCTTGAGTATGTATGCTTGACCATTACACCACTACTCCAAAAGTCTCTCCCTAACACAGAAGCTATAGTTGATGGCTCTGTCTCCATCTGAGGGCTTAAAACCTTGGGGTGGCTAGGATCATAGAAGTTTTACCATCATCATTTTATTTACACCCACCCTCCTCTCTCACGAGCATTCAATCCACCATCAGGTTCCATAGATTTTAGTTCCAGCACATATTTTGCTCTTTTTTTTTTTTTTAACTTTTTATGGGTACTAAGGATCGAACTCACGACCGCCTGCTTGCAAGGCAGGTGCTTATACCGCTGAGCTAAATCCCCAGCCCCTCCAGCACATATTTTGAACCTTAACCATTTGTACCTGCTTTGCGCTGGCTCTGGAATTCTATAGATTAAGGTGCAAATTCTTACAGGCAGCTGAGTTAGTTAGAAATATTACAGGCAGTCAAACAGGGCTGGGCCCTCAAAGGAGCCAGAGCAGGAGGAGACAATCACCTGCTCTGGGCCAGATCTCAAGACAAAAGGCAAAGCAAATACAAGCACATCCTAAGGATCCACAGTCCTAATAGTTCTCTATCACCTTGAGGAAGTCAGGCATCAGCATCCCACCACCTACAGGAAGAGCCACTGCCATTAAGCATGCCTGCACTATGTGACTTGCTTCCTCCTTTGTTCCTGATTTAATCAGTTTTACCCGGGCAATTAATCTTATTGGTTGACTACAGTCTGTCCCACTTTATACTCACCTTGCAGGTTCCCAGGTTTTCCCCACCTTAGACTTGTCTCACCTCATGGTTTTATTCCATAAAAGTCCCTAGAAAACAGTCTTTGGCAACCTGCTTGGGACCCCTTCTGTCTGTCTCAGACAGACGCTTTCTTTCAATAAATATATTTAACTCTTAACCTGTTCCTAAAATTCATTCTTCAGTTTTAGAGAACACAAACTCATACTGGATATATAGTAGGTCTGGAGCTTCATTCTCCTATATCAATATCAACGTCAATGTCTAGGTAAGATTTGGTGTGAAAATCCTTCAGATTGATTCCACTCTCTCTCCCCTCACCCCTATATTTTCCAGAGTTTGTCCATTTTCTAGAGTATAACCATATACAAATGCAAACCAGTGAATGAATGAATCTACAAGATGTGCTGCATGAAACTCTTCTTTCTACCTCACAATAGCAACAAACAACAAAAAGCCAAAACAGAACAAAATAACAATAACAAAAACGCATAATGAAAAATGCTCAGGAAAAGATCACCAAATCAATAATTCCCAAAGCAGTAAGTGTGAATTCCACTTTCAGCTCAGTAAACACACACACTGAGGTTAGCTGAGGTCTTTTTATGTATTTCACAACTATGATCATGATCTGTGTTATCTATGGAGACCACAGAATGCCAGATGAATTTGAGAGACAGCTCACATTCTAAGAAAAGAGACTATTCACCGCTCTGCCTGAGAGGATAGATAAGAAGACAGCTTTCTGGAAATCCATACCCGTGGCCATCTAATAAGAGAAGAAAGCAAGCCACTCAAAAGGGAATATAATAACATTTTCCATGTGCTAGGCTAGATTTCACAAATTTTACATATATGTACTTAGAACAACTCTAAAGTAGTTCATTTAAGTAACTACAGAGACAGGTGAACTTGCTTACCTATTATTATGTAGGTAATTTACAGAATTGAACACAATTTTAACTGTTTCTACAAATGAGTTTTTGCAAAGAAGGAGCAAATATACCTAATAAAGATTGTACTGGAAGAGATAGATATATATATAAATATATACATCTCTATGTATACATATATACATTCTCTCAGATTAAGCAAATAGGGACATGCTCTTACCAATCAAAAGGCAAATGTTAAGCATTTTTGTGCTGTCTCTCAATTTATAAATTTAGAAATTCTATTGGTTCTACTGTTAAATTCATTACATTCACATTCCACAAAAATAAACCAATTTCTCTTTGATACTTAGAGTTGCTTGAAAGAGAAGTCAGGACCTACTTTTGTGTCATCTCTTATGCCCTGATTGGTGTGTCATTTCGTCTTAAGTACCTTGTTTCATGGCCTTAGAGATGTCATCTTGCACCAACATGTCCTCCTCAGCAGGGACCATCAGCTATATAGACTGAGATCACTATTCCATACTCAGACGAATGACTTAGCAAGTACTAGCCATGGGACCTCAGGCAGAGTACATAGCACTTCACTCAGCTTGTAATGTTACCTTTAAAATGCGAATACTATCTGCCACATGAAGGCTAGTTGGAAAAAAAATGTTTCATGTCTATTGGATTCTTGGTAAATATTTTGTATCGATTATTACACTATATGCAATTTAATTTTTTAAAGAACTCAATAGACATCAACAGTGTTTAGTTGAATAGTTTTCCAAGTTTATTTTAAATATTACTTGGGGATACTCTATTCACAAAAAATGTCTTAATTTCATTTCAGCCAGGGCAACGAGAGTTGCACATTTTTAGCAGTATTAAAACCTGTAAAGTGTCATATGTATGTATGTGTATATATATATATTATACACACACAGTGAGAGATTGTTGAGTTATGAATTTTTTAAAAATGCTTTTATTTTCAACATTCGGGGAACACAGTAGAGAAAAGAATTTGAGTTAAACCTGGAAGGACACTACAAATAGTACTTCTCTACATAACCTATAAGATGGATTATTACTTTCTTTTTTCTGTCTGTGGTACAATTCACCACTTAACACCACTTTTATGAACTTTATAAATTAGATGCAATTCTTGTTTCTATTAGTTCTTGTGTGCTTCTTAATAAGATTGCTTTATCATCACTGTAGTTTTAGCACTTGATTAAGGTGACAGCTCTAATCATGAAATAACAGAAAGGATGTTTGGGGATTAGGCTCAGCCTCAGAGAACAGAGTGGTACTCGGCTTTGGTTGATTTTTTGAGGTTGTCAGATAAAATATAGGGCACCCAGTTAACTTTGAATTTCAAATAAACAATGAGTAACTTAAGTGTATGTCATATAATATTTAGGACAAATAAAATATTCTTGCTGGTTTATCTGAAATCTCACATTTAACTGGATTTTTGTGTGTGCGCGCCAACTAGCGATCCGTCGGATAACATTTGTTGACTGCCAATAGGGGTGAAAGAGACTTTCCGATGATCTGCAGTACTGGGTCATGCATCAAAACTTTGGGACAACGGCTACCCTTATTAGACGATTTTCTAAAGAGTGAGAAGAAAGCTCAACAGAACTCTGAACAAAATGCAAACTGAGTAGGGAGATTTGCAAACCTGCCCCCAGTTTTGCAGTTCGAGGGTAAGTAAGCCTCACTCCACCAGGCTAGGAAGAGCGTTTAGTCCTAGAGAAGAGATGCCGGTATCTACGCAGGCGCACACGGGCTGGGGCTGCTCGCCGGCCCCGCCCAGCCCGGAGTCACGTGGGCGAGCACCGCGCTGGCTCGGGCCGCACGTGTCACGTGATCCGGGCCGGGCTGAGCGCTGGGATGGAGCCGGAAGAAGGGACAGCGCTGTGGCGGCTGCAGAAGCTGCCCCCGGAGCGGGGCGCGCAGGTCAGGGGCAGGGCTGGAGACTTGGCGTGTGGTCGGTGCCCTTGGGGGATAGCGGAGGAGTGGAGTTTCGGGGCTGCCGCGGGGAGGCGGGGCTTTTCGTGCCTCCGAGGCGCCGGCGCTGGAGTCGCAACTCTGGGGCTTCGGCGCGGGGGTCCGGCCCTGGGAGCTCCGACCCTTGGGCCGGCAGGGCAGGGGAATCGCTGTGGGGACCGTGAAGGCTTAATGCCTTGGAGTGAGGCTTGCACTCTTCTGAAATGCATTTCATTCGTCCACTGAGTACCCACCTCGGCGAGCCCAAGGCTCAGAGTAAGGTGCTAGGAACCCTGGGGACTATGCCGGGGCGGATCCGGCCGCACTGAGGGCGACCGGGCGCCCAGTTACTGGGTGATGGACTTCCTGACGTTAGCAGAGGAATCTGGCTTGAGAGGATCTGGGGAAAGCAGACTCATTTACCTCTTTTCCAGTTTTTCGCTGCAGTCAACCTTGAGTCTAGTGCCCTGATGGGGGAAGTGAAGCACTGAGTGAGATCCAGCCTGTGCCCCATGGATGGGTCATCTTTGAGAAGTGAAGTTTTTGCCTTCTGTTTCCCTGTTGAATTCCCTTTCCTGGAGGGAACACTTCTGCTGAGAACAAGAAAATGCATCTTAACTGTTCTGACTGTCCCACTGAGGAAATTAAAATGTCACAGGGAACTTGCCCGAAGTTGTCCACTACAGGCTCAGAGGTCCTGGGTCCACTGGCTTCCATTTTCTTGCTTTCTTTCTGTCCACATTAGATGAGATCCCTCACTTTACTTCCACGGATACTGATGACTCTTAAGTCACGGGGTCCAGCCAAAGATCTCTGCCCTGAGTGTCCGGCTTTTGCCTAGGGTTTCTGTAATTCATTGTGGACTGGGATTGAGCACCTCTATTTTGCTGTGTAGCTTCTCCTCCACAGCCTCTTTTTGGCTTGGTGGCACCACCACTTTGATATACTCAACAGATTCTGGATGCTATCCTTTTTTATTGCATATCTTTTACATATTTTGAGTGTTCTCAATTATTTAGCCCATAATTTCTGCCCTGTAAACTGAAGACGGACTTTAGTCTTTCTTTCCCATTTTTTCTTTATATCTTTCAACTTATTGGCCAATTTATGGAAAGATAGGGTAAACGTGACTACTTTGCTTCCTATTGGACTTTTGAGTGCAGATTAAACTGTAGGCTCTTTAATTGTGTATAGGGATCTTTATGACCCTTGCCCACTTGCCTAGGGTCTCATTCTCCCCTACCTTCCAAATTGCCGTCTGTCCCCAAATCAGTGTAATTATTGTGTTCTCATCCTGGTATATGCGGTTGTTTGTGACGGAAATGTTGCAAACACGCTTCTCCTGTTTGCTTGCCGGACTACTGCTAAGACAGCCTTTTTTCTTGCTTCCTTTCTGTGTTCCGTTGCAACTGCTGTATGTTATAGCAACACTATCATTCTGAATTGCACTTTTTTAAAAAATTAATGTCTGCCTTTTTCTGGTAGCTTAAAACTCTATTATGGCAGGGCCTTAAGTTATTCTTAGTTTCTTCGACTGTAAAATGAGAATGATCACGGTGTTTACTTTAGGTTAGAAGCGATAATGCTTTGTACCTAGTTAGGAGTCAGTAAATGATAGTAGTTATCACAGTTATTTTTTGTTTGTATTTCTGTCACATAGTTTAAGGCCTGGGGATGTAGAATGCTGGGTTGAGTGCTTGGCCAGCATGTATGAGGCCCTGGGTGCAGTCCCCACTACCACAGAGGAGCAAAACAAAACAAAAAAAACCCCACTATTACCTTATTTAATGAATGCAATAAAGAATTGATTACATATTTGTAAATTAAGAAACAATCCAAAAAAGTAACATCTTTATTTTTAGTTTGAGTTAAGAGTTTTGTTTTATCATGTAGACAGCACTGAGTTTGAGTTCTAAATTGATTATGTTGGTTTACGATACATAAAAATTCTCTTTCATTGTGTATCAGTCATTGTGTGGAAGTGGAAGTCAGCTGCTTGTTTGTGTTTTAGTGTGTGTGGTTAGGGGGATTTATTGCTTAAAGTGGAGTGGATAGGATACTGAAAGAGTTGACAGACTCTTATTTACAGGTTATTCCTCTTAAAAATATCTCTTAAGAAGAATAAGCATATTGATCTTAGACTCGTTCTAGCATTTTAGACACTCCATTAATATGTTGAAAGCTAGAATCCGAAATTATAACAGGGATTATAAGAATGTTAATGAAGGCTCACAGTGTTTAATTACCTTTTACAAGCCAACAGTGTGGCAGATAATTCTCTCACATTCTTATGTCATTCATACAGAAACATTCTGAAGGTAAATTATATCTTTATTTTACACATGTCTGACTTAGGGTTTCCATTGCTGATAGCGAGGTGGGGTGGAGAGAAAGATATATAGCAAAGGAAATGAACAATACTGAGGATTTTCTTTTTCTTTTTTCTTTTTTTTTTTGCTGTACCAGTGATTGAACTCACGACCTTGTGCTTGCCAGACAGGCACTTGTGCCATTGATCTAAATCCCGGCCCCACAATACTGAGGATTTTCATGGAGTAGAGCAAGAGAAGTAATCATGAATTCTGTGAAAATGGAGGCAAAGTAAAATGTAGTTCATAACACACAGTAAAAGACATGTAAAAGTCTTATCCATTGCTTTGATCACTGGTATAAATATGGTGTCTTAAATTTTCTGAGATGAAACTTTTTTACTGAACATCTGTCTTACTCTTCTCATTGCTGAGATGAAATACCCAACACCCAAAGTCAAGTGGAAAAGTTTATTAGGTTCACAGCTGGCAGAGGCTTCAGGCTGTAGAAAGCAGCCTGCAAGGCAGGGCTGCCTGGGGGTGGGGCCTTGCAGAGGAGAAGCAGTTCATGGCAGAGCAGTAGTGCAACCAGCAGTGAAGTAGTGAGCGGCTAGCAGCCACAGCAGCCCCTTACTGTTCCTTGTATATCCAGGCTCGCAGCCCTTAGCATGGGTAACATTCACACCCAGGTAAGGCTTTACCATCATCCACTCTCATAACCAATCAGTGGGTGACCAGTTTAGTAATCACTCAGCCTTCATCTTAGCATGTAATCTCAGCATCGTACACTCTAGATCCAGCCACCTCTGAAAAGCCTCACCTGTGACTGCTTGAGGCTTTGAGGAATTCTTAGGCCTAAGCATAACACCATCCTCTTTCAGGAATGTTAAAAAAGTAGCAGTGTATTTCTAAAATTTTTGTTTCTAAAGGTAGATGTAATAATTTAAGGTCTGGGATTTTCATGGAACTGTAATTTTTAATTAAGAATAAACTTTAGAGCTAATTACACTTTTGTCTCACCTCGTCTTGCAGATAACAGGAACTTCTCAGCAACATTTGTTCACTATAAGTAAGATAGGTTTCATCTATAAATGTGTTTATTTCCTTTTTCTCTGCAGCTTCTTCACAAAATAATTGATGGCATTTGTGGTCGATCTTATCCTCTGTACCAGGATTATGACAGTGTATGGGATTCAACAGAATGGGTGCATGTTCTAGAAGATGTTACCAAGTTTTTCAAAGGTGTAGTTGGTAAAAATGTATCAGATGAAGAGGTAATTCTACTCTAAATTTCTGTACCCCCTAATAAATAATGCTCAGATTTTTAAAGGTGATTTTTCAAGCATTGTATAAAACAAGGGTCATTATCAGTAAGCACTGTATATGATATATAACAATACAAAACCACATTGTTTAAGTAGCAAATCTGTGAAACTTGTAGGATTTTGCCTAGTTTTTGGTTTTTACTGTTTTAGTTGTGAAACAGTTAAAACATACAGAAGAAAAAGATCTAAATCAATACCTATAGTTCACTACCATGAAGAAATAGTTAACATTTAACTTTGTGTTTCTATATTTGTTTAGAAATGATTTATATATCCTTGTCTGTATTGGTACATGTCTCATTGCATTACATCTGGGCTAACTTTTCTGGGGATAAATACGTTGGTGAAACTGCAGGGTGGTGTAAAATCCCCTTTAATTGCACTGCGTTTGTGTCTTTGCCAAAAATCATGGCAATATCTGTGTAGGTTGCTGACTTTAACAAAAAAAAAAAAAAAAAAAAAAAAAAAAACACCAAAAACAAAAGAGTTCTGTATTTTTTTCGTAAATTTCATCTGAGTCAGATACTCTGAATATGAATTCTTTGTTAGAAATGCATCTTTTAAAAAACATGTGTTTTAAATGTCTTCCATTGTATGGGTTCCTTTTTAACTGTCTTAATGATATATTTTGGTGAACAAAAGTTCTGAGTTTTAATCAGGACCAATTTCTCAATGTTTCTTGTGAGGTTAGCACCATTAGTATCCTACTTAAGAAATATTTGTGCCAAAGACATGAAGATACCCTTGTCTACTTTCTTGTAGAAGCTTGATTATGTTAGTTCTTCTTTTATATTACTGATTCATTTTGAATTACTATCTGTGCATGAAGTAGTGATTAAGTTCAAATTTGTCCACATGTGTATCCATTTGACTCAGTAGCATTTATTGAAATGACCATTCTTGCCCTGTAAGATTATTGCTCATCCTTTGTTCTAAATCAGGTGGTCACATGTGTGGAGGTGTTTATCTTGGCTCTTTATTATAACTTATTTTTCTATTTGTCCATATTTGCTAGTTTACAGTGTTTTGATTACTATAGAGTTAATGCTTTACTGAATATATAGTAATAAAAGACCTTCAACTTCATGTTTGTCCAAGATTGCCTTAGCTATTCTCAGTCCTCTGTATCTCATAACCATTTTAGAATTGACTTAGCAGTTTTAACCAAAAACAAAACAAAATAAAATTGTATTTACATTGGAATTGCACTTGAGAATTGATGTCTTAAAAATTTTTAGCCCTCCAGTGTGTGGAAGTGGAGTGTCCTCCATTTATTTATATTAGCTTTACTCTCTCTGTTTTGTAGTTTAAAATTCAATTACAGTGTTTGTTGATTTATTTTTAAGTAAGTGGTGTTTTGATGCTTTAATTTTTCCAGTTTATTGCTAATATATAGAAATACAATTGCTAATATAGAGAAATATAGTTTATTTTTGCATTTTTACCATGTGTTCAACAACTTTTTTATTTATTGGATTTAATAACTTGTAAATGTTTGAGCGAAAGGATTTGTATTCAGTCTTTTTCCATTTTAATACCTTTTATTCTTTTTCCTACCTTATTCCGTTGACTGACACCGTTAGGGCAGCGTTGGGGGAAAAAAGCAGCGATAGTAGACATGTATCTCACTCCTAACTTTAGGGAAAAAATTTCCCCTATTTCACTGTTTAGTGTGTTAGCTGCATGATTTCATAAATATTATCAGATTAAATAAATTTCTTAATTTCCAGCTTTCCAGTAATTTTATCGTGAATATTTAATAAGAAAAAGTCCCAGAATTTTTTCTCCTTTATTTTGTTAATGTGATTATTTCTGAATGTTAAACTAGTTTACGTTGGCAGACTAAATCCCACTTGGTCATGGTGTCTTATCTCCGGATTTCATACACCAATACTTTGTTTAGGGTTTTTGCACCTGTATTTGAATGATACTGGACTGTGGTTTTTCCTTCCTATGATGACGTTGTCAAGATACTATATTTTGCTGGGGATGTAGCTCTGACATAGTGCCTTGCTGGCAAGTGCAAGGTTGTAAGTTCAAGTGTCGGTAACAATAACAACAACAACAACAAAAAGATTAATCATACTTTATTCTGGGCTTATGGCATAAATTGTAGAAGTTTTTTTAAATGTTTATACCAGCTTTATTCTTTTTTTAAAAATTTTGTTGCTGTTCTTAAGGGTTTATATGGCGTTGATTTTTATTTCTTTAATTGAATTGCATATTTTCAAATACTTGAAAATTTTTTTTATCGTAAGTTTTGACCTACTTGCGCAGTAGTCAAAAATACAAATAATGTTATTTCAGTTCTTGGTTTGCTACATGGTCCGGTTCATTGTATATTTTGGTGAATCTTTCATGTATATTTAGAAATCCTGTGTACTCCACAGTTGTGGGGTATAGTCTTCTCTATGTCAAGTAGGTTAAATAAAAAACAGTTCCCGTTTTTTCTATATTTTTACTCTTGGCTTCTTCTGACAGATGTTCATCCATAATTATGGCCGAATTTATTTTTTTCTTTAGAACTGCCAAATTTTGCTGATTTATATATTTTGAAACTGTGCTAATAGGCGACACAATGGTCCTGTTGTCTTCCTTGCCTATTTCTTTAACACTCCTTGGCTTAAGGAAGGACTGTTGTTTGATATGTTAATAAACCTCTAGAACTGTGCCAATGTCTGCTGTCTGGTTATACTCACTTCCAGGCTGCTTCATCAGGCAGTTGTTTTACTTTACTTTCTCTTCTGTAGGAATTTCCTAACACTGTGTGGTGGTAACTCATTCTCGTTTTATTCTTTCGTAGTTATAGAAGTATTACTATTTTTAATTATCATTTAAAAATGTATATGAAAAGAGTGGAACTATACATTGTGAGCAGAAAGGTCCTTTCATTTATTTTATAATCATTCATTTTTATTTTCTTAGATACTTCAGCAGTTGAATCAGTTGAGTTCATCTCATCAAGAACCTATCATGAAATGCTTAAGAAGTAGGAAAGATGAAATCAAACAAGTTCTGTTAAGAGAAATAGTTAATATTTCTTCTGCACAGTTACAAGATTTTGACTGGCAGCTAAAGGTAAGAATTTTGTTTATCTATGAGTCCATTTTTTTAATTTAATTTTTTGGAGACAGAGACATGCTTTTTATAATGTATGTCAGAAATTTGTGTTATTTTGAGAATATGTTGTTTCAAAAGAATAGCAAAGATTGCTTTAGTTATATCTTGCATTATCTTGGGTTTAAAGAATACTTTATGCACCCAAACCATGTATAACATTGCATTGGTAAATTTAACTAGTTATACAAATCATTATGACTTATAAATCATAAATAGTGGGGCACTATATATTCAATTTACATTTTTGGTAGAGCTTTAATACTTTATTGCTTTTTCAGGATTAGTAAATAAGATTCTGTCTCTAGGAGAAGATTCTACAATAGGGTATTAAAGTAACAGTTTTAAAGACATTTTGAAGAGAGTGATGATCAAGAGGGTTGATTAAGAAAATTTCAGACCAACTTTCCTTTCATAAAAGGTACTTAGACCAACAGCTAAGAAGGATTAAATAAGCTGTTCTCTCTCTTTTTTTTTTTTTTTTCATTTTAACATGACCTGGCTAAAGTGCCTCCTATTACCTTTGTGTATGAAGTAGAGAAATGGTTGGGAAAATAACACAGTTGGATGAGTTGATAACTGGATGAGTGACCATCTAGTTACAGATGAATGAATTTGTATTAGCTTAGAAGATTGACTGCTTGGTTCTGGTCTTGGCCCAGTGTTCTTTAACATTTTTATGAATGTTATAACTGTCAAGAGTGAGAGGCTGCAATACCAACGATATAAATGATCAAATATAGGATTAAAGCTTAAAATTATTTTGTAACTTATTACACAGATTGGCTAAATGAAGATAAATAATCAACTGATAGCCTGAGTAGAGATTTTTCATTTAAATAAGCATTTTCTGTTTTCATAACTATAAAAGCTAGGGTAGAGATGCCAGTATAGTGTGTATGAGAAATACTTAGTTTTTTTTGATGTGCTGAAGTATAGCTTAATTGATGTCGATTCTAGTTCTAAAAATTTTGTCTTTGACTATTTAATAATAGTCTTCTTATTTAAACAATCTTTTTAGTTCTGACTGCCAAACTTAAGGAAGTACTTCAACAAATTTTAACCCAACCAGAAAAGAGTGAAAAATTTAAAATCACATTAAATGACATTGCTTTGAAACATGAGACCATTTATGTGGAAAAGATGAAACCTCATAAAATAAGACAGTTATTATCAATAGATAACTAAAAGTCATACATGGATTTATAGAGGTGTACTCAGGGACAGCAGAGACCAGGACAGAGAGTAAGTGGATTATGTGCCATAGCAGGGGTTTGAATTCAGCCTAGGGAAGAATTTAGCAACTCTGATTTTTTTTTTTTAATTTTAAAGAGGGTAAAATTAACCATAACAAAACGAAACATAAGAAAACAATGTAAGAGACACAGATTTCAAAGCAAGACAACCGGAGATCTTCACTATCTATCACGTTGTCTCTTGTTTTCTTCCAAATAGTTGTCCATAGCTTCAGGTACAGTGAATTCATACAAAACAACATAGTACAAAACTGATCAGAGCAGGATGATGAAGGCATTTCACGTCCTCAAGACCAGACAATAAGGAAGTCAACAATGGCTGCCATAGTGTCTCTCATTCTCTTCACAGTAGCTGTCCATACCTTCACTTATGTTGAAATTAAAACAAAACAGACTTAAACCACTCTGAATAAAGAATAATAGTATTGCTGGATTTCACATCATGATGCTATGGAATCATACTGGGTACCTTAGTGTCTCATTTTCTTCAAGCAGTTGTCCAGTTCATCGTGCATTAGATAATCAGTTCTCATGAACTGTTTAGAAGTTCTGTACATGCATAAGTCTCCATATGTATATCTATCCTTTCTGTATTAGAGGGGGGGGGAAAAAAACAAGGCAAAACAAAGCAAATTCCTAGAAAAACATGAAACAAAAAAGACATGTAAAACCATAATGCAAGGTAATCTACAATGGTTACTATGGTGTCTCTTGTTATCTTCAATAGAATTGTCTATATCATCAGCATAGTATAATTGAACATAGCAGTACATAACAATATTAATAAAAGCAAAACATTGGAGACATTATAAGACTTCAAAAGCAGGTAATAGTCAAACCAGAGTGGGTATCCTAGTGAATCTTGTCATCTTCAGAGTATTTGCCTATACTGTTAGGCTTGATATTATCAGTCATAACAAATTTGAATAAAATCAGTCAAGACAAAACAGCAATCTAACAAACCAGATTCAAGTATGATTAGTCATAATAAGACAGTGTAAGTTATACAAGGCTTCAGATTAAGTTAATAGAAAATAAAGGATGGTTACTGTACTATATCCTGCTACTTTTGGAATAGCTATCTGTGCCCTCAAATCTAATACAAGGAGACAGACTGGAACAGAATATAAGCAAACTAAACAGAGTGATGAGAATAATGAGAATTTTAAATCCCGATACACTATTAACAATGTCCTCTGCCCTTGTTTTTTAGACAATTCTTCCTCTTTCACTTTCACAGGGTGCATTGTACATTTTGGGTCCCACTAACTCCTTTAGGTTTTAGATTAGGGAGCAATCCACTATTTACTTAAGTGGTTCTGAATCTTTTAATCCTGGGCTTGATCTTCAGTTGTATTCCTTTACCTACAAAAGCCTCAAAGTTTTCCTTCATTATAGCTGAGTAGTTTTCCACTGCATGTAAGTGCCCTGTCTTTCCAACTTATCTGCAGCTGCTGGACAAGCTGCCCCTATTTCTCTTTGGTTCCCTGTCTTATCGAGCATTGTTTTCTCATATTTGATTTTCGGTCTATAAACCCTCTTTCAGGTTAATTATATTTCCTATGCAGAGCATCTCAATGCACCCTATCTCCTGATCTACTCTGCCTGTGTTTCTTTTTGTTAGTGTATCAAGGCCATCTTTGTTAGAGATTCTAGCCAACTTTCTCTGCTTCATTTCTGCTATGCTATTTTTCTGCCATTGGTCGTCTACTTTTCTCCTTCACTCCAGTGTCTGCCTGGTTCATTGAGGCCTCTCTGCCACTGTTCCTGAAATCCTAGTGTTTTTTCCTCTCTAGAATGTCCTTCAGTATTTTTTGTAGGCTTGGATTGGTGGTCGTGAACTCCCCCAGTTCCTCTTTGTCATGGAAGCATCTTGTTTCTCCATTAATTTTGAGAGACAGTTTTGCATGGTACATCAGTCTGGGTTGGAGATTATTTTCTTTCAGAGCTTGGAATACTTTGCTCCAAGCTCTTCTTGATTTGATGGTTTGTTTTGAGAAGTCTGCTGTGATTTTGGTGAGTTTTCCTTTATAGGTAATCCGTTTCTTTTCTCTGACGGCTTTTATATTCTGTTTTTATATTGAATTTCTGGGATCTTGATTATTATATGTCTGGGTGTAGCTCTGTTTTGGATGTAGGTGGCTGGAGTTCTGTATGCCTCATACATCTGGCTATCATTTCCTTTTTCTATGCTTGGGAAGTTTTCCTTAATTATTTCTATAAATAGCCTGTGTAGTTCATTGGTATTCATCTCTGCTTTGTGCAGTCTTTATGAAGTTATAGATCCTCTTGTCGTCTTCTAGCCTTTGTATTGTTACTATCTGTTTCCTTGTTATTTTTAAGAGCTCTTTCATGATCACACATTGCAAACGTATCTTCAAGTTTTGTTAATCTATCTTTATTTTCTTTCAGGAAATTTTGCAATCTTTCAATGGAGTTTTTAATTTCCTGGTTTTCCCTTTGATTCTGTTTCATGTATTCTAGGTTTTTAAATATTCTTCATTGAAGGTTTCTCTCCTTTTTCTGTGTTCCTCCATTCTTCCATCTGTGTCTTCTTGAGAGGTGCTTAGCGTTTCTTTTATTAATCTTGTATTACTTGTATTAGTATTTCAGTTTTGAGTTTGTGTATATCACAAAGACATTTCTTTTTGTCAGCTGATGTGTCTGATATTGCATGTTTGCTGCCCTCAATCTCTTCTGTATTTACCTTTCCTGGACCTATATTCCCTAGGTTGGTGGCTGGAGGCATTTTCTTATTTCTTTCTCTTGTCATATTTCTGGTTTCTTCCATACAGGTATATGGTGGAGGTTCCAGCCCCTTTCCATATTGGTTATGGGTTTTCTGAAGCATGCTGACTAGGGATTGCTGCCCTCTCCAGTTTGCTGTGGGTCACTGAGGTGCAAGTAAGGGTGGTGTAGGCTGACACCTCCCCTCTGAGCCAGTCAACCAGTGGGGGCCTTTGCCACGTTGGTGTGTGCCTTGCGGACGAAACCAGTTCAGGACAACTTCAGGGATAATTTGGTCCCTGGCTATTGGGTCCTGGCCAGGGCTGTGACCCAGCCCAGCAGATCTCACCAATCTGCTTTGGGCAGGGAGCAGCCGATTGAAGTCACTGCCATTGCTTGTTCAGGCCCGTCCTGCCCAGTTCCAGTATGTTGTCCAGTCGGTCACCCCCTCCCGTGGGAGCACCAAATTCTGAGCATTCACCACGGGTTAGTGCAGGTGTCCATGCGGGCTCTATTCTCTGTTGGGCTCCCCAACCCCCAACTTCCATCAGGAATGTGGCTTCAGCAAGAGTGCTGCCACGCGAGTCAGATGGCTCTGGTGAGAGCACTTCTGCTCCAGCCTCTGTCTACGTTTTTCTTTTCTTTTTTCCTTTTTCCTGTTTCTTCCTGGGTTGTTAGAATCCCTCTCCTTTCATCTGGTCTTCTCCATTGTAGTAAATTCTAGCATCTGAGCTGTTTCTCTCAGAGAGGCTCTTTACCTTGCTACTTATCGATCTGCTATCTTTTCAGGACCTCATATGTTTAGCATGATTTTAGCCCCTTGAGGTAGTATATCCTTTTAATGCGTGCTATTCAGGTGTAGACTGAGAAACTACTTATTGTAGATATTGAGCAGTATCCATAAAACAGACAACTAGTGGGTGATACTTCAAAATCCCAGTCACCATGAATACCACTTTTGGACGATAGAATGGAGATAAAGGAGAATTTGATTCTCCAGTATCAGAAGAGAGACTCTCTGGGGATTTGGTTAGGAAAAGTGACCTTTACTGTTACACAAGATTTTTACAAAATGTTACACTCTAAACAAAAATTGTAGTTTTCTGGCTCATGGTGTAGGAAAATTGAGTTTTCTTTACCACTTCCATTGGTGGTACAGTGCTTATTTCAAAAAGTATTAATACCATAAATGCTGTATTTGATCCTTCCAATTACTCCAAGGTACGCATACCCTAGAGACAGAAACTTAGGAAGTTGAGTAGATACGTTGAGAGTTTTTGTTTTGAGGTGCTAATTGAAGGTGAGTTTTTAATAACTTATTTTCTAATAATTTAATAGTTGAATTAAACATCTTCATTTCTGACAGTTTTTAATTTTTGTGTCCATTTATCTTGATACATAAACTGTCATCTTTAGTATCTTTAACTTTCTTTAAGGATTCTATGTTTCTTGTTGTATTGGGCCTAATCTGTACTTCCCAGAGTTTTTATAACTAAAAATAGTTACAGTCCTGAGTAAAACAGTGTTTTGTTTACTAGACAAATACAAATCTAGATATTTGTTTCTGACACAAAATTTCTGGCTGCTTGGCCTTTTTTCCTATTTACTTCTTTTTGTAAATCAGTTTCTCTTGTACAGAAGTACTTAAGATATACAGAATTTATTTCTTTTACCTTTCTTAGTATTTGGTATCAAACATGAGTACATTATTTCTACTTAAATGTGTTTATTAAACTCTGATGCATTTTAATAGTCCCCTTAACTATTCATTAATTACTTTTTTCCTAATTTTAAACAGCTTGCACTTTCTAGTGACAAGATCGCTACTTTACAAATGCCACTGTTAACTCTTCATCTAGACGTAAAAGAAAATGGTGAAGTAAAACCATATTCTGTTGAGATGAATAAAGAAGAGCTGCAAAATCTCATAAATTCATTGGAAGCAGCTAATAAGGTATTGCTCTTAATTTGATCATGTGGTCTAAACATTCCTTTGAATTGCTACCCTTAGCAATAAAAGAAAAACTTACAGTCAACTTTTAATGTTTTTTCCCTGATGTTTTATCAGCACAGAAAATACTTCATTGAGATGTTCTGATTTCTAGAGTAAGATACTAAATGAATCACAACTTGTTCAATTACTATTGGAAATAATTTATCAAATAGTTAGTTTTGAAAGAATCATAGTGCTATTCTGAGCTGGGGATTTAGCTCAGTGGCACAAGTGCCTGCCTGCCAAGCGTGAGGTCGTGAGTTCGATCCCTGGTACCAAAAAAAAAAAAAAAAAAAAAAAAAAAAAAAATCATAGTGCTATTCTGAATGTTGGATTTGTTTTGCTTCAGTGCTCACTAATAATAAAAATAAAGTGTTACTTTGGCATTACCATTATATTAGTAGATGATGAAGAATTTTCATGATTAAAAAAATAGTGATCTTAAAGAAAAGTATCTTAGGTAAATGACAGAAAATTGCTTTTGTAATCCTCTACTTTTGAGAGATTAAAATACTACTTAGATAAAATCGGGTTAGACAAAGTAAAAGCAATGACTGTTTAAAAACTGTAGTTCACAAAGCAATGGCTAGGAACCAGGGATTTAGCTCAGTGGCATAGGTGCCTGCTTGGCAAGTGCAAGGTCATGAGTTCAATCCCCGGTACCAAAAAAAAACAACAAACAAAAACAAACAAACCCAAAACCAAAGTAATGGCTAAATAATGTTAATGACTCTTTGTGTTTAATAAGTGAAAAAAAATTACAACAGTAAAAACTGTTGAGAAGTATGTGTATGAATATTCCTTCATTATTGCCTAGAATTTTCTCAAATTATCTAGTCTTGGTAACTAGGTCTCAGTTATTCTTATCCACCTCCATCACCACAATCAGTCTTTTTGATCCTGTGTTTTCAATACCCTGACAATACTAGCTTCTTCTTATACCCTGCAGTTGTTCAAAGATTTTAATTTCTAGATAATTGATGTTATGGTTTGTTTCTAGATGTCTGCTGAAAGCCTTTTGCACTCATAGGTAGTACTTTTTCAGAGATGGTTAGAGCTAGAGTGTGTGAATACCAAGGTAGTTCACTGATTGGTTTGGCATAGTTCTGAGATCAAAAGTATGATACTGGGATTACTCATGGTGAGGCAGTGGGGGTAAGGATGTGAGTGTTACCCACTCTGAGGGCAGGTAGCCTGGGTAAGATATAAGGGACAGAAAGAGGTCCCTGCTCTTTTTTTCTTTGTTTGTTTGCCACTCTGCCTTGGAGCCAGCCTACTCTGAACTGAAACCTCTACAAACTGTAAGCCAGAATAAACCCTTTCTCCTTTACCTTTGAGTATTGCAGTTTGTCTCTGCAATGAGAAAAGCAGTTAAGATAATTGGTCTGCATGCCTAGCAACCAGACTAGCAGCTCAGGCCTGCCTTTTCTTTGGATTTGGCTAGTCCATTTGAAAGGTAGACTAAGTTGAAAGGTAGACTAAGTATTGAGTGATGTAAGCCACAGAGCCTGGCAGATAAGCACCATCAGTTACTGTACGTTGTACTTGCTTGTTATTAGTTCTCCATAACCTTCCTCAGAGATTTCAAACATTTCAGGTAGTGTGCATTGGTATCTTTTTGGTATGACCTGATAACCCTTCTCTGTCATTTTTGTTTTAAGGTGGTCCTGCAGTTGAAATAACTGGAAATGATGGATACCAGCATTATCAGATTTCACTGCAATGGTTGATATGCAGAGTGAACACTGTGTTCAGAGACCCTGCAACATATTGATTGCTCTGCCAAGCTGAGAAAGAAGCAGTGTGAGATTGGAAAGATAAAAATCTATCAGTGTCCCTAAAGAACAGGAAATTACATGGTTGAAAGGAAATGCATAAAATAGCTATGGTAGCAGTTTATATTTTCATAATGATTGTTTTGTCTCCTTTACTAATATTTGAGAAAGCTTTGTAAATAGTTTTATTAAAAGCTAAAAATAGTTTGTAAGGTAATATAAACATACAAAGCACATTTGACTATTGCTTAAAGAAATATGTTAATAGCAAGGACATGTATAATAAATTTGTGATATTTAAATTAGTTTGTAAAAGTATATATAAGCTACATATAGAACTCAGGATATTCTATATCTTTTTCATTTTAAAGAAATATGTAGAATTTCTTAGAGAAAAGGTCTTTATCAAGATATAACCAAGAAAAAAAATGTAAATATCTGAATAATTCTGAGTTTTTGAATTGTAGAAACTAAAATCTAGAACACAGAAAAGGTTAAAGTAACATTATTACTTCTGTATTTCCATGTCTGATTGGGAGACTATGTTCTGATAAAAGGAATAGATGTCATTTTATAGTTATGTACATTGTTAAAATATCAGGTAATACTCTCTAGGTCCATTTTGGTTATATATTGTTAATACTGAATTTAACACTTGGATGTTAAGAAATTCATTGGAATATAAATGGTTTTTAATGACAGATAATTTTCAAAATAAGCATTCTGAACAAATAAAAGTAACATTTTATTTTCTGTGTATTCCCTTTTTTAAATGACTTTCTGCATAAACTCAGTAGTTAATTGATTATAATTAATCAGTAATACATAATCAACTGCTATTTGCAAGCTTTATGTATTAAACGTCATGTGATTCCTAGAGATGTTCAGAGCAGTTATTACTATTCTTTCTATACAGGTGAGGATAGACTTAGGGAGTTTTAATAAATATCTGAGTGTGATCTGAACAGTGTTACTCAAAATGAGTCTTTACATAGTGCCAGTCTCTGAAATGTCTGTTGAGCTTGATGCTTAGGAAAGCTTTGGCTGGACTGTTCATCGATGCATTACTTTCTTCATTGAGAAAATTTGTGTATGAGAACTGTTAGCTGAAGTAAGCAGTGTGCTAAGTGTGGTTGTTAATTTATCCCCTTTGCAAATTCCTTGTGTCATTATGGACCAAAACCAGTTTGTAGACCAGTACTTTTGAATAGCACTGATGTTGAGAATTTCTTCTGAATTGCAATCTGTTAGGCAGAATTTCTTTTACAAGGAAAAAAACCTCGCTCTTGATAGTTCCCTTCTCACCACATGGTACTCCATTAGCATGTTTAGTAACGATTGAAATGTAATCAGCAAACTGTGTACTGCGTTTGATATGTGTTGACATACAGATACTCATGCAAGCATTACTGTAGTTGAGATAGTGAACACTGGTAGCTCCTGAGAACTTTCTCAAGCTTCTTTGCATCGGAGATATCCTAGATAGCCATTGATCTCCTTCCTGGCTCTGCAAACTGCTTGCATTTTCAAGAGTTTAGTGCAAAAGAGATCATACAGTATGCATTTTTTTTCCTGTTTTGGTGCTGGGGTTAAACCCAGGGCCTTAGATACTGAAACCCATCGTCTATCACTGAGCATAGTTGTATTCTTTCAGAAAAAGTCTTGTTTCAGCATCATGTTGAGGTTTTCATCCATGTTGCATATATGTATAGTTCATTCCTTTTTACTTGTATTTTAAGAACTACTCCATTGTGACATTCATCCCCAATTTGTGAATTAACCTGCTGTGAATTAACTGTGGTTTTTACATATTTTGGGCTTTACAACACAGAGAGTGCTACAAACATTCTTCTTTACATCTTTGCAAGGAAATGGGCTTTCATTTGAACAGAATGAAATGGTTGCTTTGTAATAAGTCAGTGTTTGTATTTTCCAAGTGATTTTACTATTTCATTCTCATTACAGCTGTGATGAGAGTTCTTCTCCAGCTCACTATGCTCTGGTATGGTCAGTCTTTATGATTACAGGTATTCTAATCTGTGTGCAGTGCCATCTCCCCGTGGGTTTAATGATCATTTCTTTAGTTACTAATGATATGTTGAGTATCTTTTACTGTGCTTATTTCCCATCTGTACATTTCAGTGGAGTGTCTGTTGAGATCTGTTGCCCATTTTTAAGTTGGATTTTTTGTTGCTTGAGTTTTGAGACTTCTTTTTTCTGATTATAAGACGATTATCACATACTTCTGCAGGTTTTTTTCAGTCTATTTTTTTTCTTTTTCCATCTGTAAGCAGACCTTGTTCTTTTTAGAACACCTTTAGATTTACAGAAAAGTAAGAGAAGATGGTATGGCATATGGTTCCATAAGCCCGGCACTAAGTACGTGGCCTGTTAGGAACCAGGCCACACACAGGACGTGAACAGCAGATGAATGAGCAAAGCTTGGTCTGTGTTTCCAGCCGCTCCCATCACTCCCATTACCATCTGAGCTCCCCCATCAGCTTAGCAGCAGCACCGCATTCTCATCGCACAAAATCTACTGTAAACTGTGCCTGCAGTGAGAGAGAGCTGGGCTGTGTGCTGCTCCTTTTAATTATCTGAAAGGCACCCCCCACCCCGCCACCATCTGATGGAAAATTGTCTTCTGAGATAAACAGATCCTTGGTGCCAAAATGATTGGGACACCTCTTAAAGAGATTTCCTATATTCCCCATGCTGAGTTTTTCCTATTGTAAATTCCTTACATTGGTATAGTTTTGGTATAGTTAATGAACTAATGTTAATATTGTTAACTGAATTCCACAGTTTATTCAAAATTCTTGAGTTTTTACCTAATTTCTTTTTCTGTTCCAGGACCCCACCCTAGATACTGTATTGCACTTAGTTGTCACATCTCTGTCACATCTCTTCTGTTGCCCCAGTTTCCTAGACTGTTTTTGATGACCTTGACAGTTATGAGGGATATGGGCAAGATGTTTTGTAAGACAGTTACTGGGATTTATCTGATTTTGTTTTTTCGTAGTTAGACTGGGGACTACTGGTTTTGTGGAATAAGATTGCAGCAATAAAGTGACAGTTCCACCACATACCAAGAGAGAATACTCTTAAGATGATTGATGATGTGATGGGCCTTGGCCACGTGGGCAAGGTATTTTTATGTCATCTTTTCCACACTACACTGATCGAAGGAAACTACTGTTTTAGCTTATACTTAAAGGACAGTTGCACTTCTCTGTGAGGGTGCTGCAAAATCATTTGGTATTCTTCTGCACATATTTGTCTCTTTTATTCTTCAATTTAATCATTCATGTCATTGTAAACTCGGATACTTACTTTATGTTTTGGGTTATAATCCGTTTTTGCGTCATTATTCCAGCTTTGGCCATTTGGAGCTGTTTGGTCGCTCATGGATCCCTTTGGCCACACCTCCCTCAATGCGAGTGAGTTCCCTTGGCAGGGTAGCATCTTAAAAATCTTTTTTAAAAACCATATCCTTTATGTCTGTAAGATACTTGGCTCTGCTTAATATTTTCTACGCAGTCTTAATCAGCCATTTCTCCAAGGAACCTTGGTTCTTTTCATTGAAATATATTAGAAACCAAGCTGGATGTGCTGTGTAATAAGATTACTGCTGGGGTTTTGCAACTTTTAGGCCTTCATAGAACCGACAGAACAAAGAAGTCTATGTTTGTATACTAGCCTGTATATATTTCTGTATCGGTCTCCATCTCTTTGAATATTTCTTTATATAATTTTTGTATCTGTTGTAAGCTAAATGAACATTAGCATGTAGATTTTTTTAGCGTCCTACACTTTCTTATATATAGACTCCCACTCTTAACAGTGAGAAACATGTATTTCTAGCCCAAACTGTCCGTTTATTTAAGTTCATTTATAGGTCTGTAGAAATACTGGAAATATTAATCTAGGTCTGTGGGAAACAGCTTTACTAGCAAGAATTTATATGCACATAGTTTCTCTTTAGTTGTGTAGATGCTACTAATTTCCAAAGTTGTGTAGATCAATACCTCATTCAGTGTGAGGTTGTTTATTTGTAATAAAGTTGGGTTTATTTATTTTTGCCACAGTCTGTATTGCTTTCTGTAATAAACTTCCTAAATGATTTTAAAGGTTTGTATACATTTCTGTTGAGTAGTTCTGTTAGTTTAGGCAAATGTGTAATGCTGTATATTCATTGTACAGAATAGTTCATTACTGTAAAAATTTTCTGTGCTTCATCTGTTTAATCCCTTTCTACCTACCTCTGAGACTCAGGCACTGATTTCAAAATATCTCCATATCACTGCCTTTTCCAGACACTTATTTCATTGATATTACAAAATAATGTAGTTCTTCTTAGACTGGCTCCTTTCATATATCAGTGTGCATTTAGGTTACTTCCATGTCTTTTCATGGCTTGATAGTTCATTTTTGAAAATCTCCTTGAGTAGTATTCTACTGTACTGTATTATATGTCCTTTAATGAAAGACATTGGTTGCTTCCACTTTTTACCATTATGAATAAAGATACTAAACCATTCCTAGGCAAGTTTGCATGTAGACTCAGGTGTTTTAAATGATAGGAAAATAGCTAGGAATAGGTTACTAAATCATATATATAAGGGTATGCTTAATGACATGAAATGACCAAGTTGTCTTTTAAAGTGGATGAACAGTTCCCTCTTTTTCTCCTTTTCTTTCTTATAACATGGCATTAAAATTACTCTGAATTTTTAAGTGAACAGTGTCATATTTGTCAATTATATATATGTAGAACCTTGTTTTTATCTTGCATGACTTGAAGTCTGTACCGACTGAACAGCAAATACCAAGTTCCCATTTTCTCTTCCCCTAGCCCTTGGAAATCACCATTCTATTTTCTGCTTCAATATGTTGGCTCCTTTAGATAATCATTGTATTCATTGTTCTATGATTAGCTTATTTCAATTAGCATAATGTTCCCAAGGATTTCCTTATTTTTAAAGGGAAAATAATATTCCTCTTGTATATTTATACCATATTTATTTGTGAGTGGGCATGCAGGTGTTTATATCTCCTGGCTGTTGTGAATAATGCTGCAGTGAACAAACGGTACACATCTCTGAAGTTTTTATTTTTATTTTTTAGAATAAATTGTCAGAAGTAAAAATTTCTGAATCATAATTTTTAAATTTGGAGACATTACCATACCATTTTCCATAGCAGTGCAACATTTTGTAGTCATGCCAATAATATATAAAGGTTCCATTTTCTCTGCATCCTTATCAGTGTTTGTAATTTTGTTTTGTTTGCTTGTTTTTTTTTTTTTTATTAAAATCATCCTTTAAAGGTGAAATGATAGCTCATGGTTTGGATTTGCATTTCTTGGAAGATCAGTGATACCTATCATATATGCTTATATAAAAGTAGGCTATTTGTGTCTAGACATGTTTCATTTCTAATTTTGTCTTTCTGATTATAACTATGTTTCCTGCTTTTAATGTTTTAAAATATCAACTCATATAGTTTCAATTTTTTTTCTTTTTTCTGTTTTTTATTTCAATCATTGTGTTCCAGGCTTTATTATTTTCTTGTTTTTTTTCCTGCTAACTTTTGGCTTAGTTGATTTTTCTTTTTGTTTTTCTGTTTTGTTGGGATGCAAAACTGAGTTATGTATTAGACAGCTTCTATATGTATGAGAAAATACATGAGAAAAACAACTTAACAGAAAATTTATTTTGGCTCTTGCTTTTAGAGGTTTTAGTCCAT